TTTTGCCTAATAGATTAAAGCCCACGATTTCCTGCTGTGATCAGTCACTTCCCATATTTATTCAATTTCGTGGCAGATTTGCATGTATACAACCTAGTATAACTACAGGGGAGCAGAGGGTGCAGTTCCCCCTAGGCACATGCTTCCAGTGGTCCCAATTATAAGCCCTTATTTATTAACTGTATGCTCACTCTGAATTAAATATATCAACATTTCACTTTTCATCACACTTTTTTCCATTCGGTTGCCTAGTATGTAAGACTTGGTAAAAAATAACAAACAAATATCCATTTTAGTAAATGGCTGGACAAGACCGTTAAAGGTATTAGTGACAAATATGATGGTTCCTTGTAAAGATTTTGGAAAAAGATTTTAAGGTTTATAGTTTCCACTGGATTAAACTGTAAGCATCTAATCTGGGTGGATATTTAAACATTAACAGCAAAAATACTGGATTTTTATTTAAAAATATCTAAAACACTTATGAAAGCATGTTCTGTAGTAATGGCTTTGTAATTTTAAATTTTGTATAACTGCTTGATTAAGAAATGGGAAACAGAAGGCAGTTTTTGTGGTTTAGTGAGGAAGATTGCTTTTTTCCCCTTGGTAGGATTTTGATAATCAGTGTTCGATACTCAGCCATTGTTGCCACTTGATAGTGTGTGATGGAAAGCTGCCAGTTTCTCTGAATAATACCAGTCATTAAGATTTTGTGTCAATATGCTTTTAGAATTTCTTGGCTCATGATACAAAGCTGCAACGCTTCTATTTTGTCTAGAAATATTTTCCATTAATTTATTGAACAGAATTGACTAATCTGTCCTGTGGGGTTTCTACTGTCCATGAGAATGTTTAGCTGTTTGCAGGGTTTATTTCCACATACCATTGCATTTGTACCCTTATAGCTACCGACTGGTGCACTCTGTAAAGAACAAAACAAGAGCAGCAAAAGCAGCGAATGGTTTGCTTTACCGTGTGAAAATCCTGGGAAACTGCTGAAGCGTTGTTAACTTATAATTATGCCGAAAAATAGAGGTGCTCCACATTTTTTTTTTTAAATACCACATTTTGGATGATATTAGGAGAGATATGCCTGTTTGTTGAGCAATTATTTGCTGTAGTTTTAGTACTCCTTAAACTAAACTTTATGAGACATCGCAAAAACTCCATTGTGATCATTAGCACCTTAGGAAGTCAGCATCTGGGGTGCTTTAAATCACAGGGCACTCTCGAATGCAAGCATGATTGAGAATCTAGTCTTGCCTCCTGCACTACATTATTGACCCATCTCTATCATGGGTGGAATTAATGACCAACAGTGAGGTGCAGATAGTACAACGTAAGAGGGGACCAGGGCCAAGCTCTTGACCAGTCTGGTCCATATTTGTATTCCAGAGTGCCCTGTGATTCCAGACACCCCAGATGCCCCAAGACCACTCCAAGCACGCTCCTTTGACTACAATCTCAATGCAAATTAGTAATCTAAACGTGAGATTGTAGTCCATCATGGGAGTGAGCTTGGAGCGGTGGATACTACTACACACACAGGGACCATGGGGAACAAAAGTAGCCACCCTCCAGAAGGAAGTACAGTGTCAGCAGCACAAATTCAAAGATTATTTGAGAATCTACAGCTGAATGATGCACAAATAAACCAAATTTTTGTTAATAGGTAAGGTAATTGAATGCATTTTTAAGATTTAACTCCTGAGTTTAGTGTCACTTTAAAGTGTAGCTTTGCTTTTGTTGAAGAAAAAAAAAAAAATCAGTCCTCCCCAAATCGGGTGTATACTGTACATGTTTAGCAAACATTACTTCAGGGTCTTTTCCCCTGCAGTTGTGTTGAAACTCACAGATTACAGTTATTTCCTACTTCTTGAGAACTAAGTGGGTAGGTCTGTCTGCTACTAGCACATGCTCAGACTCGGTGTTGTAATAACCAAAAAACCGCTGTAAAGTCAGTGAGACAATCACACGAGCAGCATTTAACTATATCTGGGGAGTTCTGTAACCCTGTAATCTATAGTATGCACTCTATTGAGCTAATCGACAGGTTCCAGAGACCAGGTAATCATATTTATTAACAGGAGACAGATCCAGAGATATATTTCTATTACATTCCTGGGAGAGTTATATACAGACACAGTATACAGAATGCCTTATTGTCATTTTTGTCATGGTTACAAGGAAGTAACAACTGAGGTTTTTGCCAAATTTAGGAAATAATAAGCTGCAGATTGAAAAAGAATAGCAAATATAAATAACAATAAATTTAAAATTGTTTGTGTAGAAATATGTGTTAAATCATTTTTTTGTTGTTAAAAGGTTTTTTTGTTAAAGAGTTTTTCTTGAAAGGGGACCTCATTTACATTCTCACTTCACATGGATGGGTGGGGAACATGTTAGCACTACAAAACATATTATTATTTTGAATTGAAAAGTACCACTTGCTTGCCAGGAATAATAATAACTGCTTTGAATCCCAGCCAAGGCAACCTGGAACACATGATCCCCAACTATTGATTATTGCTGCATTGAATCTATTGTTTAAAATCTGAAGTGAGATCAGAGGGTCAAAGGGGATGCCTCATGTACAAAGAAAATTAGACACTACACATAGAAACCCAATCATGTCAATCCAGCATTTGTTATAAGCAATTTATACCTGACAGTTGCAGATATAGTTTGCTGAGCTATAGTATATTGTGTCTTTAAGCCCTTTTTTTCCCTACTACATCTCAGAATCTACTAACCCATTTTCTCCAGCTTCACCTTCATACATCATTACACTTACTGGTATCACTACCCATGTTAACCAGCACCTATGAACCTGATCTCATGTCTGACCTTATGCCCATAAACATTGTATTTGTCCAGTGACCATTGTCACTATGATTGAAAATCCAAATTTTTCAGCTGTCACTAAAACAGAGCTATAGGAGAAATCATCCAAAGGGAATACCTGTTCTGGTGAAAACAGTCTAAGAGGGGAGTACCTCTTATCCAGCTATATTCAAGCAATGTTGGAGATGTGGACATGAAGAGGCAAATTTGTTGCATATTTGGTGGTCATGCAAACAGATTAGACCATATTGGGATTCCATAGTTAATATAAGTGAGCAGCTCATTGAGACAAACTGACAAGTAACACCAGAAATAGCTTTGCTCTCAATTATCCCGGGAGATATCAGGAAGGGTAAAATACAACATCTTTTAGTGGCAGCTAGAACATTGATACCATGACACTGGAAATCATCAGCGATACCGCAGATTAGAGAATGGGTTTGCAAAGTTAATTTTATTATAAGGATGGAGGAACTTACTTCTCAACTATTAATAGATATTCTGAATTCTGTGAAATATTGAGTCCTTGGAAAGATTTCTTAACATCCAGTACATTGCAACAACTCCTATAAGTCTAGGTGAAAGGAGTAGAAATACTATGAAAAGGAAGAATAATATGTGATGATAAGGGGGAGCGGAAGGGAGAAAGAGAGGAAGGAAAAAAGGATACTGGGGTTTTTTCCCCCTTTTTATTTTCTTTTTGTGGTTTGTTTGATTTGTTGTGAGATGAGTGAGTTAGGGTAAATGGGAAACGAAAAACTTTTTAGCCTCCACCTCCCTCCAATAGATAGTAAGGGGTAAGAATTAAATATACAATGTGGGATGTTGAAAAGTTACATTTGTCTGTAGATGGTATATGCATATGTTGATGCTTTTTCTTTCTTCTATATATGTACATTTTGGATAAATAATAAAGAGATATTAATCAAAAGAGGGGAGCTTCCTTACATTGGAGAGATTACCAATCAGTTCCTGTTGTGTCTGCAGGATAGGGTATAAAGGGAAATTTGCCCAATAGGACACAGATGACAAAATAAACCTGACCGTAGTTTCAACTAATCCTTACTTCAGCCAAACTGAAATAAATATTTGGTTTAACATACACTGCCTGGCCAAAAAACAAAAACAAAACACACTGTGCTGTTACACAGTTATATAAATATGAAAATTTATAGTCATAGTTAATATCCATACAGAAGTGAAATGAGAATGTATATAGTTTATTTTCCTTAAGCCATTTGCTCATTGATTTTGTATGGCTAATTAATATACTGACATCTTGTAGTAGTTTGGGTTATTGCACATGTTTTCTGTGTTCCCTCCCATCTATGATGTATTTCCCCTTTCTTTATGAGACCAGTCCTTTTCTAGTGTCATGGCTGACAGTAACATGACCACATGTTAATCTGCATTGCATGCTTGGAAATATTACTATCTCTGACCTTCAAATACCATCTATTCATTCATCTGCTGTATCCTGTTGTTTGCTGTAACCCTGCTGCATTCAAATAAATCAACTCTGTTGTTTAAAAGGTGTTTTGTGAGTTCAGCTATCTGATAAGGATTGTCCGCAGTCATTATGCCTGCTTATACAGGCCGGGCATAGAGGTCTCAGCAAGGGATAAATAGCTAATACAACAATTGGAGTCAGAATACACACTCTAATATTTATTATATTATATGGGATTTCCCAGCAATGCACCGATGTAACCTTCCCAGGCTGAAATGCTTGGGTACATTACATGACTAATGCCCAAGAGGACCAGGTAGTGGAAAAACAATAATTGTAAGTAAAAGAAAAACATGTTTGTGTAACTAATTAATGCAATATGATTTTATATCAGCATGCTGATATAATTTTTAGTGAAAGGGGGTAAAGGTCCACTTTTACTACTGTGAAGAACTACTATGATTGAAGTAGCCTGTAAATATAATTAGCAAAAAAGCCTATCCCCATGTACAGATATAATTACCAATTATACAAAGAAATGGGTTATAAGACATTATTTGAAATTATTGTTTATACTTAGATGAGCACTGAATAATAATATTGTTTAGACTTAGCTGAGCACTAAGCTCTCGTATATGTCTAAAAAATGAAAAAGTCATAGTTTACACTTAAATAAAGTATTTCTAATGATGTTCAATTTCTGCAGGTTAAAAAATGTCTGCAGCCCTTTCTACTGTCCATTGGACAGTTGGAGAAGGTGAGGGATCTGACGCTGGATAACATGGAAAGAGGACTGAAAGCCAAACCAAGGACACAGTCGACTTTAAAAATGCTTCCCACATATGTCCGTTCTACTCCAGATGGCACAGGTACCGTGTGTTGAATTATTTTCCAAATACTTTGGGCATAGGCGTGCAGTCTATTGCATTAGGGTGTGCACCCAAAAGTACAAACATTCACACACATATATAATATATAGACACATGGGGCATCCCAGATTCCCTTCTCCTCAACTGTACCTTAAGTCTTTCAGCAGGGGTGCAGTAATGATGCACGGCGCCTTACAGGTAGTCATGTGACCTCCCATCCTACTTCCTGATTAGATGGGAAGAATGAGAAGCTACAGCCACACTCCCTCGCAAGCCACCCAGGCACTGAGGACTGCGGTTGTTATGTGAGGAATGTAAGTGGAAAGTGCTGCTGTGCTCTGTATTGCTGAGCCGGTCACAGAGTGATCTTTGTGATCTTTCCATTGGCTCAGTGACTATGAACATAGCACCTGCTGTTGCGGTCTCAGTGTTTCACTCGGGGTGATTAGGTTGTGACCAGGCACACCCGAAAGACCCTGTGCGCATGCCTTTGACTTTGGGGTGAGTAAAGAAAATCAATAAAATTATACATTTACACTTTAGTTTGCCAGCAAAATGAGGTCCATGTGATATGTTTCCAAACTTTCCAGCGCCTATTGAGAGTTGTCTGGCACCCAAGACAAAAATTGTGTATTGAGCTAAGTGTCCCAGTATGCACAAGCCTCAAATTATTATGTGACAATGTTTGTGTCTGGTGATTAGCAGTTCAGACCTTATTCCTGCATCCTTGCAGTAAGGGGAGAAGGTCCTATGCTCTCCCATAACTGAAAGTACTGGGTATTTACAAGAGCTCCAACAGATGAACAGAGTGGTGGCGGAGTATGGAGAAGACAAGTATCAGTGGATAGGAAGTGGCCTGACTAGAGGTCCTATCATTTTGCCCTGAATCAGCAAATTTACTGATTCTTTAATGTTTACTAGTTGAACATGGTTTGCAGGATTTGTGGGCAATCATTTTGCACCAGTTGTACTTTAGAACATCTCCCTTAATTACTTTCCATTAGAGATAGTACTTGGGCACATGCTGATATGGGGATATCAAATACAAGCATTGAATGAGCTGTTGTGTCTCTTGCTTGTTTGCTCCTTAATTAACTTAGTAAATATCGTGATTTTGTTTTCAAGGGAAAAATGTTTTGAGATATATTTTTATATGCTTTAATTATATAATTAAAAGGTAATGGATAATAAGAAATGTTAATATACTAACAAACCCCCTTGCTGCAGGCATGCTATAGCATACCAGATGCTTTGAATTCTCTCAGATGAAAGCTAAGCTGTTTTCTTGCGTATAAAGTGAATTTGGGGCAAAGGCTGAAATGTACTATGTGCCCAAGATAAGGATATTCAAGAATACTTGGAGGTTAATAACTGTAACATGAAAACAGTGAGATGTTTTTAAGATAATGCCTTAGGTCATCCTGCCAAAGTCATTTGCTGTAGGTTAATGAAATTGCTAAGGTAGGTCATTGGGGGGACCAAGGCTATAACTGTGTTTGTCTGAAATTGGAGGAAATGCTGACTTCCCAACAAGCTAATAGTGCTAAACTTATCTTACAAATGACATGGGTAAATGAATTGAGTGTTTTGTGCAGGACCCATCGAGACTAGAGACCTGGTACCAGAAAAGCTTTCCACACTTCATAATCTGAGATTTAGAAATTGTTTAGCCAAGAGACATTTGGAAAATAATACTATTCAGCTTCGCTCATCAATTGGAATAGTAATAAATATTGTAGTGAGCTGTGCGAGTCTGAATTAACTAGTTTCCCCCTGGCATGGTGGCCCCCCATATCTTGTATAAAACATTTACAATAGTGAAATAACTGTCAAAAATAACAGTGCAATGCAAAAAGTGCTCACTAAACTATACATTCATTTTATCCTTAATATCAATTATGCAGTCAGGAGGTATTCTCGGTGGTATTCTCTGAGATACTGCCAGTGCCAGGAGCCACTCGGGACAGACAGCGCGAGTTGAGGAAACTTAACAAGTGGCTCCGGAACTGGTGTCGGAATGAGGGCTTTGGTTTCCTGGAGAACTAGTCCGACTTCTCAGTCGGTTAAAGGCTCTAGCAAATAAAATAACAGACCTTGAAGTTATGTTACTCGAGGAGTACTACGACATAGTAGATATAGCAGAAACATGGTTAGACGGCACACATGATTGGGCTACTAACATAGAAGGGTGCAACCTGTTCAGGAGGGACAGGCTGGCAAGAAGGGGGGGTTATGTATATATGCTAAAAATAACCTAATTATGCACATCCGTGACAATATCGCGTCAGCTGGTGAGGATGATGTGGAATCGTTATGGCTAGAACTAGATAGAATGAACCCTAACCCTTACCGTAAACTTATTGTGGGTGTCTGTTATAAACCTCCAAATATAGGGGAAGAGGAGGAGGCCCACCTACAATCCCAAATAGAAATAGCGGGGAAAATAAAGGTATTGTTGTGGTAATGGGAGACTTCAATTACCCAAGCATAAACTGGGCTAATGGAACTTCCCAATCGGCAAAGGCTGCCCGTTTTCTTAATATGTTGCGAGACAATTTAATGGATCAGATGGTTTGAGGTCCCCACTAGGGAAAATGCCATTTTAGATCTGATCATCAGCAATAATACAGAATTAATTGATGATATTGTAATCAGGGAGACACTGGGTAATAGTGATCACAAGGTGATTGCTTTTAATATTGGGTGCAAGAAAGGGAAGGGTGATGGGCGGACGAGAAGCCTAAACTTCAGGAAGGCCAACTTCGATAAACTACGCAAGATAATGGGTGAAATTGAATGGGAAAACTTATTTGATAAACTAAACTTTGACCAGAAGTGGGACTGTTTCAAGAACAAATTAAAAAATGCTATTACCAGGTGTATACCGCTGGGGAACAAAAGTAAAAGATCAAAAACAAAGCCAATATGGCTAAATAAAACGGTAAAAAACAACACATTAAGGAAAAAAAAGTAGCTTTTTGTAAGTATAAAACGGAGGGCACAGTATTGGCATTCCAAAACTACAAAGAATGTAACAAAAGATGTAAACTGGTAGTCCGGGCAGCTAAAATTGAATGTGAAAAATATATCGCCGAAGTTAGTAAAAAGAACCCCCAAATTTTTTATCTGTACATGAACAGTAAAAAGGGGAGAAAGGAACAGATAGGTCCAATAAAGGACATAAATGGGTCATTACTCACAAACGACAGGGAGAGGGCCGAGGCACTAAATACTTTCTTCTCGTCGGTATTCACAGAGGAAACAGACGGGTTTAATGTACATGAAAAAACACAAAATTTAACAAGAAATACACCTGACGGTTGATGGAAACTGTGATACAACATAGGCTTAAACTACCAAATGCAAATAAAGCATTAGGACCTGATAATCTACTTCCCAAGGTACTCAAGGAACTGAACAAGGAGATAACAAGGCCATTGTTCCTCATTTTTAAGGAATCGGTAAAGGCTGGTAGAGTGCCAAGCGATTGGCGAAGGGCAAATGTGGTACCTATATTCAAAAAAGGGTCAAAATGCCAACCGGGGAACTATAGACCAGTTAGTCTGACATCCATAGTATGTAAACTGGTAGAGGGAATTATTAAGAATTACTTAGAGGAATTCGTCAGGGATCAGGGCATAATAACTGATATGCAGCACGGATTTAGGAAGGATCGTTCTTGCCAGACCAACCTGCTGACCTTTTACAAAGAGGGGTCATTATAGACCGCAGACTGAAGAATAGCTTGCAGTGCCAGACTGCTGTAAACAAAGCAAGCAGAGTCCTGTCATGCATTAAGAAGGGAATGTATTGCAGGGACAAGTCTATAATTTTGCCACTTTACAGATCACTGGTCTGGCCACTTCTGGAGTATGCGGTCCAGTTTTGGTCACCAATACTCAGAAAGGATGTCCTTGAGCTGGAAAAAGTCCAGAGGAGGGCAACCAAACTTATTAAGGGGTTCGAGGACCTGAACTATGTAACAAGGTTGTTCAAATTAAATATGTTCTCTTTGGAGGTTAGGAGATTAAGGGGGGACATCTTCTTGTATAAACTATTTAAGGGTGACAGCAACATTATTAACAAACTGTTTACGGTTAGCTCCGTAACAAAGACCAGAGGGCACAACCAAAAATTGGTGGAAAAAAATTTCAACACACAGGGCGCAAGGGGTTCTACACAGTCAGAGCTGTTAAGGTCTGGAACTCGCTGCCGCAGGAAGTGATCTCAGCTAAGAGTGTGGAATCATTCAAGAAACTCCTGGACGAGTTCCTCGGAGACCATAATATACAGGGGTACAGGTACGCCTAAGAGCAAAATCACACATGGACTAATACACATGCACACACCTGCTCCAATAGGTTGGACTTGATGGACTTATGTCCTTTTTCAACCGCAAATACTATGTAACTATGTAAGAAGGTGTCTAGGTCACTGTACAGCTTCCTATCCTATACTGTTCGCAATCTACAAATGTAGCTGCAGCAATGAATTACTCTATTTTATCTGGTAATAAACATATATGGAGCTGTATAGTTATGACTCAGCTCAGGTTAAACAGCAGGCTCTACTTTATGGGGTGTATTTATAAAACAAATTGCAGAGTAATTTGTTCTGAGAAATTGCATCTACATTTGTTTTGTGTGAATGGGGCAAAAACAAATGTTATTAGTATATTTTCTTTCCAGTTCAAATATAATCCATTCATAAGGTTACAGTGAATCAGGAAAATACTGCATTATGGCCACTAGATGGAACTAGATCCTCAGCTCCATCCAGTTACCATATTGCAGTATTTTACTGATTCACTTTGAGCTAATGAATGGATTACATTCCACTTGTAAAGCAAATATAATAATAGCATTTGTTCTTGCCCCCATTCACACAGAACGAATGTGCATACAGGACATATATATTACAATTGATGCTTTATGTATTTGCCAACTTTTATTATATTATAACATTGATTAGTTCTTTGTTTTCTAAAATGTAAAAATGAT